CAAGTTCAGGACCCCCACTCACCTCCACCTTGTATTTCTTGCGTGCCTTCGCCACGTTCACAGCAAGGTGTGTGATCATGATGAAGCCGGCAACGCCAGTCAGGACCACATAGCCGTATTCCTTGGAGAGAACCACCATCTTGACACTGTTGAGAGAGAGGAGTATTCGGTTCCAATGTCAGGGCAGGACTGAGAACCACAGGGCTATTAACCCCCCATTGGTATGAGAAATGGGGATTTACTGAACACAGCCCAGCATCCGTCCAGCCTGGGGCTGACTGAGGGAAGTGACAAATGATGGAGCTTTCACCTCTAGACCGCTTGCTGAACACAGCTAAATACTATGTGAAACAAGTCAGGGTCCTTCTGTCCAGTTCATACTAGGCAAGTGTCCACAGCATAACCATCTCCATCACAACCGCGATGCCTCTCTGGCACTCTCGGTACAGCGGCCATGGATGGATTGGACCCTGGAAACCCAGTGACCCACAAGTGGTCCGTTTGGTCGAGATGAGGAGCCGTTGGCCAGTGCATACAAGGAGATGACGGGCAAAGGCTTGCACCCATCTGTGACTGTGGTCTGCCGTACATTTCAATTGTACCAGCAGAATCTTTTCACTGCAATAGTTCCACTAGTCAAAGCCCTAGTGTGGATTCCTAACAGTGGTATAAAGGTGCCATACTGGTATTGTTTCTTCTCTTCCTATACAGGAATAGCTATACCGATACAACTCCACCCATACAGGGGTGCTTGTTCTGATATAATTGGGAGCAGCACAATTTTTAGGGTAGATAAAACCGGTGTTGGAGCAGCTGCCTGTGGAAGGGTCTACCTGACAGATTTTCAACAGTACTAAATTCACTTGATTGTTCTGAGTAAGTCTTACTAGGAAATATGTTAAATTCTACTGTTGCAACTGTCCCAAATTCTAGATTAGGGCCCTTAGCTTCCTCCCACTGAAGTCACTGCCAAGACACTGTTGATTTAAATGGGAGGGTGTTGTACCAGAAGGCAGCAGATACTGGTGACCTGAGTGGGGAGATGTTACAGGAGCCGTAACCTACACATACAGCGCCACAGCAGTCCAGACTGCCTGCCAGAAGGCCTTTCCTCCCACAGCTTCTGAGGCCAAGTGGTCACTCGCTTTCTGCCCCCCCCCCATGTAAATGTGTAACCACTAAAAATCCAGTGTTACACATTTACACACATACAGGTTAGTTAACATCCCTCATTGACACTAACCCCTCTGCAGCTGCACTGGTGGGATATAGCTTTTGTAAGGTTCCCCCTAGACCATGCTTCTGAGTCTTTCCATTGACTTTGTACAGCCAAACGCAGTGTCAGACATTTAAGAACAGAGACGATTCAAAACTTGGAGCGGGTGCAGAGAAGCGTTACAAAAACGAGTCTAGGTCTGAAGAGCACGGAGAGAGACTGAAGGAGTGCCTATCCATTACACTTATCAAAGAGAAAGTTAACAAGTAACTTGATCCTGTGCAGAGGCTTACAGCCCCTGAAGAAATCTGTTCCGAGAGGGCTCTTGAGCAGGCCAAGCAGCAGCAAATTCCAATGACTGGAAGTTAAATGTAAATTCAAATTGGAAATTAGATGCAACATTTGAAACAGTGAAGTGATCATCAAGGGATTAACTTGGATACTTGCAGTATTGTGGATTGGAGCCAGGCTCCACCCCTCTTTTACTTCCTGTTTGCATGTAGCTGAGGGTTACAAGCACTACAGGAAATACTGTAAATAAAGTGTGTTCCCTGTGCACTAAGCAGTTCCTATACAGAAGAGGGTAATTAATCAGTGGTACAACTTACCAAAATCTCACCACTCTGAATTAGGGCTGTCAATTAATCACAATTAACTCTCACAATTAAATGAAAAAAATCGTGATTAATTGCAGCACAGTTAAACAACAGAATACCAACTACAATGTAATAAATATTGTGGGTGCTTTTCTACATTTTCAAATATAAAGATTTCAGTTACAACACAGAAAACGAAGTGCACACGTGCACTGTATAGGATTATTTTTAATACAAATATGTGCACTGTAAAAATGACAACAGACATTTTTATTTCACCTCATACAAACACTGTAGCTCAATTGCTGGATTATGAAAGTGCAATTTACAAGCAGCGATTTTAGTTACATAACTGCAATCAAACAAAACAATGCAAAACTTTAGAGCAGCGGTTCTCAAACTGGAGCAAAACCCCCATTTTTGTTTTAAAAATGTCAGGGACCTCCTGCCCCGCCCTTCTGTGGCCCCACCCTCCTGCCCTGTTGCTTGTTCTCCCACCCTTCACTCATTGTCCTCAGGCTGGGGCAAAGCGTTGGGAGGGGGTGAGGCTCTAAGTGGGGCCAGGGATGAGAGGTTTGGGGTACTGGAGGGCATTGGGGTGAGAGTACAGGCTATGGGATGGAGATGAGGCCTCCGGGTTGGTATGCTGAGGAGGGATGGGTGCAGGCTCTTTAAGAGTCTGGGCTGGGGATGACAGGTTTGGGATGAAGGGGGTTGGGATGTGGGAGGGAGGGGTTGAATGCGGGAGGGCATCCTGGGGCTGGGGGTGTAGGGCCCCAGTGTTGCTTACTGCCGCTCCTAGAAGCAGCTGCCAGGTCCCTAGTTGCTGCCTGCTGCCCTTGCACTCACAGACGCTGCCCTTGCCACTTCCATTGGTCGCCGTACCCAGCCAATGTGAGCTTTAAACTGGCACTCGGGCTAGATCAGCGCACGGAGTTGCTCTGGCTGCTCATGTGCCTAGACAGGCTGCCACAGGGACTGGGAGGCTGCTTCCAGGAGCCACATGGAACCAGTACAGGTTAGGCAGCCTGTCTTAGCCCTGGGCCTCAGGCCCCAGGAGACACTCTGAGGAAGGGGGAGGAGTTGAGGGAAGGGTTGATCAGTGGGACCCATGGACCCCCTGGACTTCCCTTGCGGACCCCAAGGCATCCACAGAGCCCAGTTTGAGAAATGCTGTTTTGGCATGTATAAGTCCACTCGGACCTATTTCTTGTTCAGCCAATCAGTAAGACAAACAAGTTTGTTTACATTTACAGGAGACAATGCTTCCCACTTTTTACTTACAATGTCACCTGAAAGCAAGGTATTCCCTATATGCATAAACCTCTTTGTTTCTTGGCAACCATTCCAGAGGACATGTTTCCACGCTGAAGATGCTCATTAAAAAGATAACGTGTTAGTAAAATTTGTGTGTGAACTCCTTAGGGGAGATTTGTATGTTGCCTACTCTGTTTTACCAACATTTTGTCATAAATGTCATGTTAGAGCAGTCTCAGATAATAACCCAGCACATGTTTGTTTTAAGAACACTTTCACAGCAGATTTGACAAAAAGCAAATGATTTTTTTAAATCACACAAACAAAGCACAATTAATTTTTAAATCACTTGACAGCCCTAACTCAATTTTTAGGCGAAGACCAAATGTCCAAAAACACCTAGATCTATGGTGTCCAACCAGTTCTGAAGTAGCCACTATATGCACAGCTATAGCGAACTAGCCACACTCAACCAGCCAAATAGTCACATGCAGCTAGTGGCTGGTGTGTTGGACGCCATGGATCTAGATAAATCCACAAGTTATTGGTCTCAATCCTGTTCTCTTATGTGGTAGGAAAGAATAATTCACTGTAGGAACGACTAAATGAAATTCTAGGACCTGTGTTATGCAGAAGGGCAGGCTACATGATCATTGAAAAAGCGATGAGAAGTCCTGTGGCACCTTATAGACTAACCGATTTATTGGAGCATAAGCTTTCATGGGTAAAGACCCACTTCATTAGCTGCATCTGACAAAGTGGGTCTTTGCCCATGAAAGCTTATGCTCCAATAAACTGGTTAGTCTATAAGGTGCCACCGGACTCCTCGTCACTTTTGCAGATTCAGACTATCAAGGCTACCTCTCTGATACTTGATGATCATTGAAGTGGCTCTGTAATTTTGCAATATCAAAGACACAAAGTTAGTTTTATTTCATAACAAATACCAAAACACGTATGAAGAAGAGGAGATCAAAGCTGTGAATCATAATTAAAGAGTATCATCAAATGAAAAAGAGTAAGGAAAGGAAAACGTGCTTCCATACTTCAAAGACAGTTGAAGAAAAATCAGAAAGTTACATGTGAGTATCACTGTGAATATGTTAAATGCATGTTAACCAGATAAACAGTCAAAAGAAATAAGCAAGAAGGAATAAGAAAGTGTTGTAAGGAAGAGCCTGGAGACAACATCTGAGGACAAGTGTGGGAATACTGATAGCAACACAGAGATCCTTTCACCTGATAGAAGGAGTCTCATGTCTGCCTCACAATGGCATAAATCCATAGGTTACAAGAGTGTCTCAGTGATCTTGGCACTGTAACACTGCTATAGATGTTGCTAGCCTGGCTTTTCATCCTGACTCAGCATTGCTGGAACAATCCTGCTAACTGAGCCAGGGGCTGAAGGAAACTTTGCTACGTTACAGCCTCTGTGCACAGTCAATCGTCAGTCTAGCAGTAACATAATCACAGTTACAGTGCACTGAGCCAACTGACAACAAATTTTACAACCACTGGATAGCAGGAACAACCATGTTCAATTGTAGCAAAGGCTAACACAATGGTAGGTTATATTAAAGTCAGTATTATAATAGATACTAAATGCTTGTACAAATCTACACGGAGGTCACACTAGAATACAGTAAAACAGGCAAAGGAGTTCAACAGGACTCAGGTCTTATTTTTTTATGACCTGCACATACACTGTGTATTTTAGCAACCTTTGACCACAACCCCACACCCTCTGCTAACAAACCAAATGATATGGTTCACCAGGCTGCAGTCATTCCCCCTGAGTTGCACATACTTAGGGGCTTATCTATAAAAAGCATTTCTTCCCTAGTAACGTGCAGCATGGATTTAAAATGTAGCAACTATTCCAGAATAAGACTGTCCACGTGGGGCGTTATCCCAGAACAGGGATAGTGGAATAGTTATTCTAGAATAGCCCCAGCCAGTCAATTTTCCCAAGTAGTCGAGATCTTAAGAGACTTGAGACAACTTGAGCTCAAAAGATTGAAGAGGATGCAGATCACTACATATTCCAACGCTCAAAAGCCTGCAGTGGCTCAGTAGGCAACAAATGACTAAAGAAACACAATCAACACTGTAATTAGTGATAACGTGTAATAGTCAACTGGACTGTAAATGCTTTGAGACAGAGCCTGAGGCTACGTCTATATTTGCACTTTTGTAGTGATGCTTAATTCCTCTCCCCATGAATGACAAAGATTTGCAGAAAGCAGATTGGGGGTAGAAGTATTTGGTCAATGCTCTATGATGTAGGTATACCCTGAAGTTAGTCCCCACATGTCTCAGCAAAGTGCACTGCTATTGGTGCTCCTCAACCAGTTACGTATTTTGTCTCTCTAGGACAGTGGTCTCCAACATTTTTTACACACAAGATCACTTTTGGAATTTAAGTGCAATCTAAGATCTACCTCAAATCCAAATATCCTTGCCCCCCTCCTTTGTGCTTCTTGCCCTGTCTTTCTCTGAGGCCCTGCCCCTGCTCACTCCACCCTCCCTCACTTTTACCAGGCTGGGGCAGAGGGTTGGGGTGCAGGATCTGGTCTTGGATTAAGGGATTTGGAGTGTGAGAAGGGCTCTGAGCGGGGCTTGGGGCAGGCTGTTGGGGTGCTGGAGAGGGTTCTAGGTGCAGGCTCTGGAAAGGTGTTTGGATGCAGAGGGGCTCAGGACTAGGGGAGCAGGAAGGGGTTCATGACTTGGGGAGGGGTTCAGGATGTGGACTCCAGGTGGGCACTGCTTACCTCAGGTGGCTCCTGGGTAGTGGTGCAATGGGGCTTAGGCAGGCTCACCCCTGTCCTGGCCCTGGCCCTGGCCCACTCCCAAAAGCAGCCAGCAAATTCCACCCCAAGTCCTGTTGTGTCCCCTCTCTGATCTGTAGAGATAGGATACAGGGTGCGAGAGGGGGCACCTTGACATCAGTGCTCCTCTTCCTCCCCCCCCCCATCCTGCACAGGAAGCAGGAGATTCCTGGAGGAACAGCTCCAAGGCAAAGGGCCAGAGATGCACAGCAGTGTGAGGAGGAGCAGCTGAAGTGCTGGCACTAGATAGCCACGTGGCCAAACCAGTCAGGATCACCTGTCAGAGGCTCCAAGATCTACCAGTCGATCCCAATCTACTGCTTGGTGACCACAGCTCTAGGACCAGCTCAGTAAAAATCTCACAGCATTTGACAAACATTAACAAAGTCCCATTAAACACTTCCTAAGCTAGGAGGTAAGGTTATTCAAGAGCATTTCCTTTTAACACCATCACTACAGACCAAGGAGATAACTAGTTCAGGCAACAAGTTTCCAGAGCAAACTCACTGCACATAAATTACCATCTACACGTCATATAATCCTCATAGGCTGGCAGTTTCACAGCAGTCTCTAGTGTCCAACACATGGTAGCCATCTACCATTCCTGATTCACACTCACATGCACAACCTTCATTTCTGATTGTGGCATTTCCCTGCCAGATAAAAAACATTAAAAATGTCGGGACTGAGGGACATTGGAGAGTCAGTTGTCCAGGCTGGAAAACTTGCTACCAGGACAACTAGTAAAACAGTGTAATCACAAGACCTGAGAGTGAAAGTGGAGTAATTGTAATAGGAAATCAAGACTGTTCAGAAGCCACTGGTTGGTTGGTCTTTGTTAAGTCCTGTTTAACTCGGACTAACATTTCGAATGAAGGAAGCCTTTGTAACAGCCAGCATCTCTACAGATTCATGTAAGTATTAGTGCACAATCCTGGAGCTAAGCTCTCCAGCAAAACTGTGGCAGATCAGACTTGACAGTCCCGATATTTCTATGGTGACACAAATTGGGCATGAGTTTTGGTCACCATTTTAGGTATGTCTATACTGTACTACAAAAAAAAAAATCATACATACATAAAACTGAATACAGCAGCATCTCTCAGAGCCTAGGTCAACAGATTCACACAAGAGGGCTAAAACTAGCTATGTGATGAGGAGGGGAGGCTCCGAGAGCTCCGGGGTCAATAGATTCACACAACAGGGCTACAACTAGCTATGTGATGAGGAGGGGAGGCTCCGAGAGCTCCGTCTTCCAGGCTTCAGACTCCAGTCCAAATGAGAATGTCTACACCACAACTTTTAGCCATGCAGTGTGAGCCCAAGTCAGCTGACCCAGGCTCCAAGAGGGCTGTCTGGGTTTTTTTTGTTATGTAGACATAGCCTGAAGTTGAAGCCAGGTCACACAGGGTATTCCTGCAGAGGCTGACACAACAGGGTCTAGTCACTATAGTGACAGATCCAGGAATTAGACGCACGCCCACCAGGCTGGAGTGTTCGCTGTGTTTGGAGTCTCAGGAGGGACACGCGTGTGTGACACCTTGAGAGCGCTGCGCTAAGGTCACAGGAACAGGAAGCGGCAGGAACTCGCAGTGCCCGCAACTAAATCCAGACCTCGGGGGTTGCAGCCGCAGAGACGCTGGGCTCAGCCACCGCGCGGGCCTTTGGCCCCAGGCTGCCGCCGCCCC